GGGGGGGGCTTCATCCAGCAGTTGATAGATGTGTTTACTGATAGCCGCACGTGTTTGTTTGTGCAGGTACTTGTGAGTTGTACCCACTGCACATGCGTGCGTTTCTGTATGGTGAGGAGCGGTAGTGTAGCGGTTAGCGCTACGCTGCGCTACGAAGCCGGCGACCCGAATTCGATTCCCGCTCACGGCCAACACCCAGTGACGATTATGTTATCTGAACCGGTCATGGGCGTTCCCTAGGTCGACTCAGCCTCAAATTAGTACCTGGTGCATTGTGTAAACATCGCCACTAGGGAGACAAAGGCGGCCGGGCTTGATGTTTGCCATCCACCCCATCGTGTGCCGTGTCGGGCTTCATAGGTGATGCTCGCTAACAGCACTTGCCCCAACAGTCTGTTAAAGTCTATACGGGGGATCTTTGTCTTTTTGTCTTCACATTATATATACATACACACACTAGTGACCGGAAATTAAATACGTAACAAATCACGATAAAACTTATATGTCATTCCAAATTAATGTTATTCCAAAGACGTACGCATATATGTATCTACGCATATTACAAAGACTGTAGCGGCAAGTGCCTTAACAGACTGTAGGGGCAAGTGCTATTAGCGAGTAGCACCTATGAAGGCCGTAACGGCACACGAGGGGGTGGGTAGACAGCACCACGCCCGGCCGCCTTTGTCTCCCGAGTGGCGATGTTTAGACATCGCATCAGGTACCCATTTGAAGCTGAGTCGACCTAGGGGAGGCCCATGACCGGTTCAGATAATCGTCACCGGTGTTGGCCGTGAGCGCGAATCGAACTCGGGTCATATACCGTAATGTATACACGCACGCTAACAGCACTTGCCCCTACAGTCTGTTAAGGCTACACGTGAGATCTTTGTCTTTTGTATATCGGAGTCCATAATGCTTAATTGTATTCTGCACAACTGGAGTGTGTGCTATGTACCGAGGGCAATATAAGAGCGCACAAAGACAAAGATGCCCCGTATAGCCCACACATACTGCTGGGGGCAAGTGCTGTTAGCGAGCATCTGTTGAGCCCGGAACAACGCCAGCGCGTCGTTTGAGTGACCAACACCGCCGCGCTCGGCCGCCTTTGTTTCCCCAGCGCTGATGTTTACACGCACATCGCTTATGGCTCAGTCCACCTCGAATGTGGTTCGGACAATCAGCACTGAAGGTCGGTAGTTCAGCCGTGGCCGGCAATCGAACTCGACTCGGTGGGAGGGCCCGGGTCCGTAGCGAGGTGCGCTAACCACTGCGCCACCGCTCCCATTCCATTAAACACACAGCGCGTGGCATTTCTAAACACACTCACAGATCCGCACGGACACACAAACGTATATATGGGAAATGTGTACCTTTACCTAGATGGAAGCAAAACAATGGGTGCCATTAGCTTACGACACCGGCGTTATTTGCGACTTAAAACGCTCCAATTCTACTGCGAGTGTCCAGTTGCACTCCGCGCGACAATGGAGTTGCTCTTAACAAGGTCATTGTCATGCGGCACACGCGCGCGCGCCTGTGTGTATATATAGGTGCTCACTAACAGCACTTGCACCAACACTCTGCCACAGGCTACACGGGGGCTCTTTGCCTGTGTGTTTTGTATAGAATGTGTATCGCGATCAACTCGGCCTCCCCGGGATGAGTGTCTAACGTGGTGTGTGAACATCGCCACTGGGGAGACAAAGGCGGCCGGGCGTGGTTTGCTGGCCACCCGCCCGCTCGTGTGCCGTGCCGGCCTTCATAGGTGATGCTCGCTAAGAGCACTTGCCCCAATAGTCTGTTAAAGTCTATACGGGGGATCTTTGTCTTTTTGTGTTCACATAAAAACACACACACACACACAAACTCGTGACCGGTAATTAAATACGTAACAAATCACGATAAACACTTAAATGTAATTACAAATGAATGATATTCCAAAGACGTTCGCATATATGTCTTTACGCATATACAAAGTCAAAGCTCCCCGTTGTAGCCTTAACAGACTGTAGGGGCAAGTGCTGTTCACGAGTAGCACCTATGAAGGCCGGCCGGCACGGCACATGAGGGGGTGGGTGGCCAGCACCACGCCGGGCCGCCTTTGTCTCCCCAGTGGCGATATTTTTACGCACCGCACCAGGTACTCATTTGAGGCTGAGTCGACCTAGGGCAGGCCCAGGACCGGTTCAGACAATCGTCACCGCTGTTGGCCGTGAGCGGGAATCGAATTCGGGTCACGTACCGTGATGTACACACGCACACGTACGCCAGATTCCGTAATGATCACTTGTACTACACAAAACTGTCGTGTGTGTTTGTTATACAAGGGCCGGGTCCCTTAGCGAGGTGCCCTAACCACTGCGCCACCGCTCCCATTCCATTAAACACACAGCGCGTGGCATTTCTAAACACACTCACAGATCCGCACGGACACACAAACGTGTATATGGGAAATGTGTACCTTTACCTAGATGGAAGCAAAACAATGGGTGCCATTAGCTTACGACACCGGCGTAATTTGCGACTTAAATCGCTCCAATTCTACTGCGAGTGTCCAGTTGCACTCCGCGCGACAATGGAGTTGCTCTTAACAAGGTCATTGTAATGCGGCACACACGCGCGCGCCTGTGTGTATATATAGGTGCTCACTAACAGCACTTGCACCAACACTCTGCCGCAGGCTACACGGAGGCTCTTTGCCTGTGTCTTTTGTATAGAATGTGTATCGCGATCAACTCGGCCTCCCCGGGATGAGTGTCTAACGTGGTGTGTGAACATCGCCACTGGGGAGACAAAGGCGGCCGGGCGTGGTTTGCTGGCCACCCGCCCCCTCGTTTACCGTGCCGGCCTTCATAGGTGGTGTTCGCTAACAGCACTTGCCCCAACAGTCTGGTGAGGCCGTATTGGGGGCGGCGGGGGCCTTTTGTCTGCGTCTCTATAATGTGGCACGTGAATTTAAGAATGACAATTATCATCTGCTCCCTCGTCATCACCATCATCACGATGGCGGCAGTCACAACAGCGGTGTGGTTCAGGTGCCCCATGGCCAAAAACTGAGGTCCGGTGCTGCAAATCCACAAGTGGCGTGTGCTGTACTCGTAACGAATTGGCACGTTCTGTTCACGTGACCTTACTAATTGGCTGTGGTCGGGTGGTGGCGGGTTTAACGACACATTTATATATTTACGCGATCTAACACCCCCCCCCCCACCAAACCCCCCCCCGCCCCCCAATATAATGGATGATATTGGTCGTGAAAGCCTCCTACGTATTCTTAGCTCTTTCGGTAAAGTCACGTTGAAGGGAAACAATAAAATAATAAAATATATTTTAAACAATACAAATTCGGTTTGCATGCAAACCGACACACCTGATGACGACCGTTTGTGTTATGGTCAAAACGTCGTGAGAATTTTCTATTGTTTTATATATATTTTATTATTTTATTGTTTCCCTTCAACGTGACTTTACCGAAAGAGCTAAGAATATGAATTACTGCAGTCACGAAAGCTTTAAATCAAAATTTAAGCCTCCTACGTGTTAAACTCAAACCACTGCTTCAACGGCAATCCCCGTGTGTGTGGTGGTGGTGTTGGGGAGGGAGGGGGGGGTGGTGGTGGCGAGGTCGCGCGGTGGTTTTACCCCCCACTAGATCACAATTAGCGGCGCAACCTTTAAAACGTGACACATTTTGTTTGCAAGGGCGGCACCGTTGCACGCGCACAATCGGCCAAACTTTTTTCAAGCGTTCGAACTCGCAGCGTCGGCGTCGCATGCACATTGAGCAGACGCAGTCGCCGAGGGTAATTACCACCGGGGCAGGCGAACTACCGACAATTTCTCTGCAGTTCTCTCTCTCTCACAGTCTCTCTCTCTATATATATGAAGAGGATGTGTCCAGCCGACGAACGGGAACAAAAAAAATACATTTCTTGCTGCGGTGTTCCCACCTGATGATGATGATGATGATTTGCTTGTGCAGCAATCGAAACGTCGTGATTTATTTCATTTTTTTACCTACCACGTGACTTTACCGACGGGAAAAAAAACACCCCATAGCGTATGGATTCCTGCTAGTCACGGAAGCATCAAATCAAGATTGACGAGCGGAACGTTCGTCTCTGCTACACGCGGGAGGAAACCTGAGCACCCGCAATGGGTAGGGAACATACCGGCGCAATGCGAGGGAGCAGCACTCGATGCCGCACAGAAAAGGGACGGATGATGACATCGGTCACGACGCTTTGCCCGACTGCATTCTGCTGGCGAGCCGGGCCAGGCTATGGCAACCTCGCTCCGTCAACCCTGAATGACGGAGCGAGCGAGCGAGCGTGCTGAGCGTTGCGTGCGCGTAGCCACGGCCGCTGAGCAACAATAACATCCAACGCTATAAATATTTATTTTTTTGTTGCATTATTATAATTGTGGATGATGACGTTAACCAGGGCGATCCCGCTCGGCTCAAAGCGCGAACACCCCGCAGCTGAGAGCAACGCGGCTCTCTACGCGGCCACTCCGTGACGTTGATTATCGAGGAACATTCGAGTTGTTTGCCGATTTCGAACGCGCTCAGCAATATACGCTACCCTTGTTACTTTGTTTGCCGATCGCTGGCACAAAGACGACATGGTGGTGGTGGTGGTGTTGGTGTGGGTGGTCGCGGTGGTGTAGCGGTTAGCGCTACGCTGCGCTACGAACCCGGCGACCCGAGTTCGATTCCCGCTCACGGTCAACACCAGGTGACGATTTTCTGAACCGGTCAATGGGCCTCCCCGAGGTCGGCTCTGCCTCAAGTGAGTACCCGGTGCGGTGTGTAGTAAACATCGCCACTGGGGAGACAAAGGCGGTCGGGCGTGGTGTAACTGTTCCGGCCTTCATAGGTGCTGCTCGCTAACAGCACTTGCCCCAACAGTCTGTTAAAGCTATACGGAGGTGGGGGGGGGGGGGGGGCGGGGGCAGGGTCTTTGTATTTTGTTTGACTCTCTTTATATTCGCAGGCAAGTCCTGGAAGGCTCTGAGTCACTCGGAGAAGAGGCCCTTCGTGGAGGAGGCTGAGCGCTTGCGAGTCCAACACATGCAGGACCACCCCAACTACAAGTACAGGCCTCGCAGGCGCAAGCAGCTCAAGAGGCTGGGCAAACGGGTGGACTCAAGTCTTCTTCTCCATCATCATCACCACCACCAGCAGCAACATCAGCAGCAGCAGCAGCACCACCAAGAGTTGTCTCAACAGCAGCAGCAGCAGTTGCATCATCAGCAACACCATCATCAGCAGTTGCAGCAGCATCAGCATCATCCTCTGCTTTCCGCGGTGGATCCGGTTCATGTTGTTTGTCGCCCGCCCGAAACGGCGCTTAGAGACCTGAACGTTGTAGCCGGGGGACATTTTCAAAATCACTACCACCAACTCTACCACCATCATCATCAACAACAGCACCACCACCACCACCATCAACAGCAGCAGCAGCACTACCAACATCAGCCGCACCTTCAAGGACATCATCACAACAACCTTCCTCCTCATCATCAGCAACAGCAGCAGCTCTTGCAGAGCCACCACCACCATCAACAACAACAACAACATCCTCATCATCACCAGCAGCAGCAGCAGCAGAGCCTGGTGAGTGAGGCCGCGTTCGGGCTGCCGACGCCGGAAATGTCCCCGCTGGATGTCCTCGGCGACACCGACGCCCCGACATTTGCGCAGGCGTCGCCCATGGCCCAGGAGGTCGCACAGGGCCCCTTCCTGGTGGCGGCGTCGGGCGAAGGAGGTGCGGAGGACGAGGCGATGAGTCCGCACGTCGTGGGCACGTACCCGTCGCACCACCACCACCACCACCACCTCCTCCTCCAACAGCAACAACAACAACATCAGCAGCACCACCACCATCATCTCCAGCAGCAGCAGCAGCATCACAATCAGCATCCGCAGCAGGAGCAACAGATGGTGCAGAACGGATCGACTCCTCTGGGGTACGCCACCGACCTGAGGAGGTCGACCACGATTGTCCACCACTTTCGGGAGGTGGACGAGGCTGGTGGAGACAGTCGAAGCGCTGCGGCTAAAACGTCCAGCGAGCCGCTCGCCCACCACCACCACCACAGCAACAACACCACCACCACCACGAACAGCAGCAGCAGCAGCAACCACCTCCACCACGTCCTACCTCTGTACTACAGCCAGATGTACCACCACCACCAGCAGCAGCAGCAGCATCAGCAGCAGCACAACTTCCATCATCAGCACCATCAACACGGCAATCATCATCAGCAGCAGCAGACCGCCAGCGGTTTCCAGCCAATATCTCGCAGCCACGAGGTAGGCGAGCCGTCTCCTCCTCCCGACCCGCGCCGTTTGTACAGCGACGTGGAGGAGGAGGAGGGGGAGGAGGAGGAGGCTGCGGTGGTGGGAGGTGACGAGGTTGTGGACGGAGTTAACGATGACAACGACGGCGGTGGTGGTGGTGGTGGTCGTGGTGGCGAGGGGCTGGTGATCGTCACGGCTGTGGGTTCGAACGGTGACGGCGGGATCATGAGTCAATATCTACAGCAGCAGGACGTCGGTGGATTTGCCAAGGGTGGACTAACGCATCACCACCACCAGCAACAACAGCAGCAACAGCAGCAACAGGAATCACTGCCTCAACAGCAGCAGCAGCAGCAACAGCAGCCACAAATGGCCAGCTTTCTATCCGTTCTTGCGGACGCCACGGCTATGTATTATAGCAGCAACCCGTATGGCTGACGGGCATCCATCCAGCCAGCCGGCTATGCCTGGCCATCAAAACAGGCTTCGTGATTCGGTGGTGGTGGTGGTGGTGGTGGAGATGATGAAGATGATGCAGATGATGCAGATGAAGTTGGAGCGGCCGTCTTTGTTCGGAGACAGAGAGCGGCGGCGAGAGTGACTCTGCTAAAGGTGTAATTATATTGATTTAAAAGGTTACGATTTGCCGTGGAGACATATATATTCGAGGTGCATTTAGTGAACTTTGTTCTTGCTACAAATGTCCGCCGTCTGTTTTTTTTTTTCGTAACGAATGAATGGTCGTTGAATTTTGGATGACGAATGTTCGTCACGGTGACGGCATTGCTTAGAGTTCACAAAGCCAACTGTGGTGATTTCTACCCTCGAGTGAAATGGCAGTAGCACTGTAGTTCAGGTATCCTCGGTGGCGAGAAGTTAACTACCTCGCCTGGTATACGGGAGGATTCACCTGGGTTCGATCCCTAACCCTGACGCCTGTATATTTGGAGTTTGCATGTTCTCCCCGTGGTCGCGTGGATTTTTTCTCCAGGCCCTGCGGGGTTCCCCTCCACATTTTAGAATCAACGTCACACGTTTTAGAGTATTTGGCTGCTATACATTTCCACACGACGATAAGCCACTTTCGTTGAGCTATCACTTGTGGCCGGGTCGTTTTTGCAACCTGAAAAAATTAAAAACAAATTGTTTAGTTTCGATGCCCAATGTATGAGGTCTGCTGACCACGACGAGAGGACTTCAGTAGCAAGAGAGAGAGACAGAGAGAGCTCGTAGGGCGTAAGTTTTGCTGTGTTGATGACTTGTCAGCTGTGACAATCAAGAGGAGCTAATCACGTTAAAACCAAAAATCGGGTATGTTTTCATGGCGTTATATTACAGCCACGATTGAAATTCCACATTTCAGTGGCCGGGGCCGAGTCCCTCCGTCTGTCTCTAGACAGTATATGACAAAAATAAAAACCCCGCCTTTATCTTCCCACAAACTGGTACTCAATTTCGCGACCCTCCTTATGAAGGATTTGCGAGTCGGACGTTCTGATGATGATGATGAGAGTTGGGAGGAAATGACATCCATTCAATCGTTATATCCACGTGAATATACCGCGTGTGTGAGAGTTATATACTGTATTGTTATTAAAGTGACTTAGTCACTGATCAAGACGATTTTTTTTCACGTTTCATACCTCCCCCCGCCCCCCACCTCGATTAATCGTCACGATTTGATGTAATAATCGTCACGATTCGATGTAATCATTTGCATGCCTCCTTAGCCGGTGTCGATGCATGCACGAATATTCAACGATGGCCTTGAGAATCGTCGTGATCATAATTCAAATCGGCCGCGCAACGTGATCCACTGCCCACTCGCATCCGCGATCCGACATCAAATAATTCGACACGTTGGTCGGCAACACCCGTGCGTCTTTTGTGCGTGTTGCCTTTACATTAAAATAAAAAAATATATATCATACACGACGTTTCGGGCAGTGGCCCCTTATTCATAGCACATGTGACATTCGCGGAGTTAATAAAAAAAATGTTTTTGGCTAATCTTCAATTTTATTTGTGATTTATTTACATTTTTATTTTATTTCTACATACGTGACTTTACCGAAAGAACCAATGAGTTTAGTAATTTCTGCAGTCACGAAAGCTTCGATTCTAGATTAATCCACCTCTACGGGGAGGTTGTCCTTACAATTCTGTCCAAAACATCTTTCCCTGTGTTTGCTTCTCTGTGTATGCATCTCTGCTACCTCGTACCTCGTGTCTGTTCACGAATCCTTATCCTCTGTTTACGTTGGTGTGTTCAGCCCAGGAGATGAACCCAAATTTTCGCAGTCTTTTGAAATACGTGGTCAGCCAGGTTAATGTCTAACTGTGTTGTTGGCCGACTGGGTTTGTATCGCGTTATATGTCTAAGGTTTGTTGAGTTCACGTCTCCCATCGTCTTGCTGTAGTTGCCTCCGTGAAGTTTGCCTTTCTGTGTGCTCTGTGTGTGATAACTATCTGTGTGTGATGTCTGTGTGTGATGTCTGTGTGTGTGATGTCTCTCTCTGTGTGTGATGTCTGTGTGTGTGATGTCTCTCTGTGTGTGATGTGTGTGTGTGATGTCTGTGTGTGTGTGATGTCTCTGTGTGTGTGTGTGATGTCTGTGTGTGTGTGATGTCTGTGTGTGTGTGATGTCTCTCTGTGTGTGATGTCTCTCTGTGTGTGATGTCTCTCTGTGTGTGTGATGTCTCTCTGTGTGTGATGTCTCTGTGTGTGATGTCTCTCTCTGTGTGTGTGATGTCTCTTTGTGTGTGATGTCTCTCGGGGTGTGATGTCTCTCTGTGTGTGATGTCTCTCTGTGTGTGATGTCTCTGTGTGTGATGTCTCTCTCTGTGTGTGATGTCTGTGTGTGATGTCTGTGTGTGTGATGTATCTCTGTGTGTGATGTCTGTGTGTGTGTGATGTCTCTCTGTGTGTGATGTCTCTCTGTGTGTGTGATGTCTGTGTGTGTGATGTCTGTGTGTGTGATGTCTCTCTGTGTGTGATGTCTGTGTGTGTGATGTCTCTCTGTGTGTGATGTCCCTCTGTGTGTGATGTCCCTCTGTGTGTGATGTCTGTGTGTGTGTGTGATGTCTGTGTGTGTGATGTCTCTGTGTGTGTGTGATGTCTCTCTCTGTGTGTGATGTCTCTCTCTGTGTGTGATGTCTATCTGTGTGTGATGTCTCTCTGTGTGTGATGTCTATCTGTGTGTGATGTCTCTCTGTGTGTGATGTCTCTCTGTGTGTGATGTCTCTGTGTGTGTGATGTCTCTCTGTGTGTGTGATGTCTCTCTGTGTGTGTGATGTCTCTCTGTGTGTGATGTCTCTCTGTGTGTGTGATGTCTCTCTGTGTGTGATGTCTCTCTGTGTGTGTGATGTCTCTCTGTGTGTGATGTCTCTCTGTGTGTGATGTCTCTCTGTGTGTGATGTCCCTCTGTGTGTGATGTCTCTCTGTGTGTGATGTCTGTGTGTGTGATATCTCTCTCTGTGTGTGATGTCTCTCTGTGTGTGATGTCTCTCTGTGTGTGATGTCTCTCTCTGTGTGTGATGTCCCTCTGTGTGTGATGTCTCTCTGTGTGTGATGTCCCTCTGTGTGTGTGATGTCCCTCTGTGTGTGATGCCTCTCTGTGTGTGATGTCTCTCTGTGTGTGATGTCTCTGTGTGTGTGTGATGTCCCTCTGTGTGTTCCCTCGCTATGTGCTTTGCCCCATTTCCACCTGATGATGAGCGCTTGCGTTGCGTTCGAAACGTCGTGATTTATTTTAATTTTACGTGTGATTTTATTAAATTTTATTTTATTTCTACATACGTGTCTTTACCGAAGGAACCAATGAGTATAGTAATTTCTGCAGTCACGAAAGTTTCGATTCTAGATTCATCTTCAATTCTCACATACTGTGCATAATGCTGCACGTACCTGAATCACAGCTGTATTGTTGTACAGGGAAATTGAGTTTTCAGGTCCATACGGCGTACAGCCGTTTTAATACGGGCAACATTTTTTCTGTCTTTGTGTTTCTCCCTTGTGATGGGACTTTGTAGGATGAACGTTGAGATTTATAAGGAGGCACTGGGTGACCAATAAGGTCTGAATTGGTCTGTAATAAGGTAGGGCACTGATAAGGGGTTAACAGCTATGCTGAATTGATGCTTCGCACCGAAACCCACGTCAACTGTAGACATCGATTAATCGTCGCGTGCTCAATGTCAGAATCTTGAGTGTCTTTTCCGAGTCAAGCCCTTTGAGCTAAGAAGCATTTTTTTAAAAGGGAGATTCGGCCGGTGGACAGCATCACAGCATTCGAGAATTACATGTAAAAAAAAAACAAGCTTAATAATAGCAATTATGTCGTAAAATTGCATTCACACTTTCAACATCAGCGACGGTGGTGGCGATTTTGGGGAATCCATCGTCCAGCAATGGGTGAAACAAAACCTTTTTGATTGAAAGCTTTCGTGACTGCAGGGATTCAAATTCTTGGTTCTTTCGGTAAAGTCACGTAGAAGGGAAACAATAAAATAATAAAACTATGAAACAATACAATTCTCACGACGTTTCGACTGCAACACAAGCAATCATCATCAGGTGTGAAAACCACAATAACACGTGTAGTAGCTACACGTGTTGCAGCTACTACACATGTAGTAGCTACACATGTAGTAGCTACTGCATGTGTAGCTACTGCACGTTTAGTAGCTACTATACGCACGTGTAGTAGCTACTATACGTACGTGTAGTAGCTACTATGCGTACGTGTAGTAGCTACTATACGTACGTGTAGTAGCTACTACACGTGCAGTAGCTACTATACGTACGTGTAGTAGCTACTACACATACGTGTAGCTACTGCACGTGTAGTAGCTACTATACGTACGTGTAGCAGCTACTACACGTACGTGTAGCTACTGCACGTGTAGTAGCTACTACACGTACGTATAGTAGCTACTGCACGTGTAGTAGCTACTATACGTACGTGTAGCAGCTACTACACGTGTGTTAGCTACTACACGTGTAGTAGCTACCACACGTGTAGCTACTTGTGCTACGAGGATAATCCGGCACTGCGTGTAACGTTATAATGTAGCGTGGAGGTCGTGTATTTCGCATGCCCTGCCGGGGGGGGGGACCAAACCCCAAAGTTCGATTCCCGACCACGGCTTTTAGACGTTAGTGGCGAGTGAATCCCGAACTGGTGCCGGACCCCCACTCCCACTCACCCCCACTTCACCAAGCCGCGCTGAACCAGCGTGGTGCACTATGGTCACACTTGAACAACAACGTGGAGAAACAGCTGATTGACAGACTTGTGGAAATTACCACCACGATTAAAACAAATGGGGGGGGGGCGGATGGGGGGGGGGCGCGCATCTCATGAGCCAGTGGTGGAAATTCCACAATCCCTTGCCGGGTGACCTCCGTCCATTCTATAGGATGGCCACCGTTGTATTGACATCCCACTGAATGGTACTAATTGTATCGACCAAGCTGAGCTGATGATTAATGACCGTGGGCTGAGTTGCCGGCCAACTCTGGCTCCGATTCTCGAACTCTTGAGTGCACGTCGGCATTTTGACGTCGGCCGAGCTGGGGCTGATGTCAACTTCTTAGAAAGTCTTGGAAGGGATTTGAGAACCCGGAATTTGACGCCGATGCAGGCGCCTCTGCGCTTGCAACGACACAGATCGCACATCGCAACCACCTCGACGTTCGTAAACTAGGCTTAGGGAAGGTTTGCACAGCTGTGCCGTGTTGTGTGCACGGTCCTAGATCAGCGGATTAAGTCACAGCCTCGACCAATTCGTGACTTTCGAGTGACTGACACTCAAGGAGTGTGACGCCCAAGCGGATAAAAAGCACTCGAGGCCCGATGCGGTGAATACACCGGCACGCCTACAAAGGGTACCCTCGCTTTATGCGGTAGATGCCTTCTAATAAATAAAAAGGTGCGCATAAATCTACGAC